CTGATGCGCCCCCGCGGGCCGCACAGCGCGCGCACACGACCGCGCGGCAAAGCGCGCACGGGCTGACACCTCGTAGTGGGCGGTGCGCCACGGTGGGGTCACGGCAGGGGGTGCTCACACTGCGCGGCCGCTGCCAGAGCGCGAAATTTCGCGACTTCGTGCTCGTGTATCTTTAGTCAGAGACATGTCTCTCGTCTCTCCTCTGAGTCTGACCCCTCCGCCCTCGTGTGAGCTGTGTGACACCTCTCTCTCTGACTGTGGGGGGTCACGTTAGAGAGAAAGAAAGAAAAAGAAAACGCTAACCGACATCCCAAGCTAGGACTCGAGAGCTAGGAAGCTAGGCTAGCTACTCGTCGCCCTGAATGGTTGCCCAGGTTAGTCAGGACACGGATCCCGGCGTGAACACGCCGATCTGACAAAATCCCGAGTGCCTACCGCACGCGCCGCGTCGCGGCGCGTGCGGTAGGCTTTGTTTGAAGTTAAAAGTCGAATCAGAGCGGTGTCGGCGTTGTGTCCTGAGTTTTCTCCCCCGGACCGCCCAACCGGGACCGCTCCGGGACGCACGCCGGCGAAGCACCATCAAGCTGCTGTACGGCCCCGGAATCGCCTCCCCTGGCTTAGCTAGAGTGAGAGATATTGTGCACATGGTCTGTCTCTACAATATATACACTGACACTCTACCTCCCAGAGCTCGTCCCGGTCCGCCACGGCCATCCTTGGGCTTGGCCTCCGGAGGGCCCCCGGCCGCGCGGTCGGCGGCGGCGTCACAAATCCGACCACAGAGCACCGGGACGCGGTCGGGCGATCTGAGGCCCAACTAGGCGTATGCATTGCCCATCCAGTGCTATCACCTGGACCCATCAACAGGCGCCTGGGGCGCCGTGGCACGAGGTGTTGTTCACACCTGGGCAAGCACATTCATGCGCAGCACCGAGTAGGCTAGCAGTAGGTGCTAGCACCCGACTAACTACGGGCTGATTCTATTATATCCGTATATATTTGAGATCGCGGCAAGCCTCGGTGCCTGGCGCGAGGTCGCTTTTTTCACAAGTGGAAGAGCGGGGCATAACACGCGTGCCACCTCTCTCCTCACACACGTCACATGGTCCCTCGCATCGCTGCCCCGGCGCTCTCTCGCTCGCCCGGCGACGGCGGCGGCGGGAAGGAGCACGCACTACGCGCAAAATCCTCGCGCAATTTTGCCCACGGGTCCCGCAGCAGCGGCCTCTCGCCCGCTTCCCCTTCCGCCGCCAGCACGCCGCGCAGCCCGCAGCTGCCTGCCGCGGAGCAAGGCCAGGGCGACGGCCGCAAGTGCCTCCACAGCAGCGCCTCCGGGTAGAGGCGACTCGCCAGGGAGGAGGAGGAGGAGGATGGATGGAGGAGGAGGAGGAGGAGGATGTGGTGGTGGAGAAGGCCACGCTTGGGACGGGCGCAGAGGCGAGCGCGCCGCTGGAGGCGTTGGCGAGCGCCTCTCCGAAGAGACGCTGCAGCAGGGGCGCCTGTTCACAGCTGCAGCTGTGAAGAGCTGCTCGTGACGGCTTGAGGTCGCGCAGCAGCACGTTATGAGTGCTCCGTGCCAGCCGCGCAGAGAGATGGTGGCGTCCACAAGACAAGCGCGTTATGAGTGCTTGCGCGAGGCTTGGCGGGGGCGGCGGGGGCGGCGGGGGCGGGGGTGGGGGCGGGCGAGGCGCGCCGACGCGGTCGTCGCGGCGAGCAGCTGGTCGAAGGCGAGGCCTAATCTCGGGTAGTCTCGGGTAGTCTCGGGTAGTCTCGGGTAGTCTCGGGTAGTCTCGGGTAGTCTCGGGTCATCTCGGGTAGTCTCGGGTAGTCTCGGGTAGTCTCGGGTAGTCATCTCGGCCAGCCGGTCGAAGGCGAGGCCTGCGGAGGCGCAGTGCCACGGCGCGTAGACCGCGCTCGCCGACGCAGGTAGCGTTGGCGGCAGCGGCAGCGGGGCGGTGAGGAGAAGGTCCGGCCTGTGCGACATGGCTCGAGCGTGCGATGGACGTGTCGTGGACATGTCTCCAGAGTGGGGAGCAACGTCCGGGCCGTGTCCGGAGCACGAGGGTTGCGCTTGGGAAGGCACGCTCGGCCTAGGTCGACGGGCGGAGGGCTGCTGAGCCGGGCGCAACTTGGGAGGCGCTCGGCAGAGAGAGAGAGAGGGAGGGAGGGAGGGAGGGAGGGGGGGAGGGAGGGAGGGAGGGAGGGAGGGAGGGAGGGAGGGAGGGAGGGAGGGAGGGAGGTAGGGAGGGAGGGAGGGAGGGAGGGAGGAAGGGAGGGAGGGAGGGAG